CTTGTACAGTCTACAACTCACATTTCTCACCATAAGCATATAAGGATCACATTCACAACACCTCCATCCTCCATTGGTGTAGGACTTCATTAGTAGACATACTTTGAGGGTTGTTAAAGCATCAGGATTGTATACATATTAAATTATTAATCAGAATGTATGTTTGTAAAAGTGGTTTCTTTGTTGGCAGTAAACAAAACAAATAAATATAAAAAATGGCGCCTTATTGAACAGAACTGATGATATTATTTCATGACTCACAAGTCACAATGTGCAAATGTATTAGCCTATCTTACAAATGATCGATAGACTCAAAATTCTAAACCATTACTCCATTAGACAATATTCATGTACAACTATCCATTCTAAAATGTTTTTTTGGCACTTGACAGGGTACACCTTCAATCATGAACTACTTTTCACAAACATGTTCATCATTGACACAATTAAATCAAAGATCAATCCAAGATGGCATACCATTGCCTTCCTCAGGTTCTCTCTGCCTCCATAGCTAGCTATCACCTTTCGTCCTTTCCTGCCTATGTTTTTTTGTTTGCTCTTTTTCTTAGAGCTATTGAACCTCTCTTTCGCTCAAATGAAAGTTAACCAGGAAGTGGGAACTATTCTTCATTGCACTCTACAGAACCTGGGATTGATTGCCATCAGGAAGGTCAAGAGACTGAATATGAAACACCGGTTTTGGGAATACCCAAAGACGGTGGAGAACCATATACAATCAAGGTTTGTTGCTATACTAATTAATTGACACCATAAACCTCATCTCAATGACCCTAACATAGTAGATATTATGGTACAAGGTGACGACGATGTTGACAATCACTCTATTTTTTCATTTATATAAGTCAAATATTTTAGTTTTTGGGTTATGGTTTCGTGAAGAGAACACAGTTGATATAAATATAACTTACACAGGATGTTCTCTCGTCATCCTATCACTCTGAAGATGGATTCACAGAAGAAACTCTCGCATTTCCATTTTTAGGTAGTTTTGCATTATGTTTCTTGTACCCAGTACTCCAGTAGTAGTTGTATGCTCATTATTTTACCCCATATAGTTTTTATAAATAATCAACACTTCGATCTCAGAGGCTGGAACCTGTTTAAAACTGGAGTCAAGTCAAGCTAACCCGATGCTTGACCTTACAGAAGAACAAACGACAAGCAGTCTGACATCAATAGAGCGGGAAACAAAGTCTTCCAAAAACAGGGTTTGCAAATTCAGTTTTAATAACATTCTAGGGTGCCTTAGAATGACTGTGGAGGTTATCACATCAAAGTAATGGGACAGTATCTGAGAGTTAAGGGATTGCTATAGTCATTTTAACTTGCACAAAAAGATTATTTAAGCTGAAAATGTAGCTGGCAAGTTGTTATACTTTAGCAAAATGATTAGTTTTATGTGAGGATCTATATGTGCGTATATATATATATATATATACAAGAATTAGTTGTTTACATAAGCAAGCAATGAACTGTTGTGGTACACTGTTCCACTCCTAAATGATATTTTTTTTTTAAATTGGGTCATTCGGTGTTTGCCAGTTATTCCATATGTTTTTTTAAAAATGTATCCAAAAAGAAGTCATGTGTGCAATTGAAATTGAAATACATTTACAATGTTGACATAAGAAATCTACTTTCAAATAAGTATTTTTGTTTTCTTTTATCCTTATGTTGCATTAGGTAACATCTATCTTAGGATACTTCCAAAGTCAAGCTTCCTGCTCATTTCCTGAGGTGAGGCTTGGAAGCCCTTCCAAGGAATGTGGAACATCATCTCGGGGTAATATTCAGTCTCGACATTCATGAAAATGCTCCCTGCCTCCAACACCACCATAGAAAAACAACCTACTTTAATTTTTTCTCGCTGCCTTCTCATTTTTATGCATTTTTTTCTTGTCATCTTTCATGCTCCAAACCTTTGCCTAAAGCAGGTACTGGAAGTGTGGATGCAAAAACTTGTCAAAATGATCTGAGGCATGGTGGGAGTTATTATGATTACAATGTAGATGAAATAGACCCAGCAATTGTGAATGAGTTACCACAGGAAATTCAAGATGAAGTGCGTGCTTGGCTTAGGCCTCGCAAACAGGCAAATACAACTACTAAAAAAGGTCCAGATATTACTCGCTATTTCTCTCGAGTTAAAGATGCATAAATGAAGCCTTTGATTAGGCTCCTTTTCTTGAATGTCAATTTTTTACTGAGCACTTCAACAATGATATCACGATTTAGCATTTTAGCTCAGAGTCGGTAAAGGTAAGTAGTTGTGAATCGTTGTGAGTGATGACAACACAGCCTAGTTGGAGCATGAAGAAAACGCCATGCACGTGGGCTGTTCATGGTATATAACTGTAATATATGTTTTATTTAGGGTTTGTTTGCAAATGCTTGTGCTTAAATAAAGGCACTTTTTGGGAAAAAGTGATTAGTAGTAAAAATTGGTAGTGTTTGGTAAAATAAGTACTTTTTGTGTAATAGAAAAAGTAAAAAGTAGATTCTAAACGAAAACCGAGAAAGTAAAAGTTGGTAATGTTTGGGAAAATAAGTGCTTTTTTCTTAGAAAAAAGCCACAATCACTTATTTTAAGTGATTGCAAACAGAGCCTTAAACTGAAACGGTTGGCCTTGTAAAATCCCATAAGCCCATGCTTATTTAAATTGAAACCCTTGGCCTTAGAAACAATGAGTTATGTTTGTCCAATGCAAAACTTTTTATTTTTGTTAAGATATACGTAGTAAAAGATATAAATGACAAAAATAGAGAATCATCATTATTTTGAAAATGTATTTGTATGTTTAACTAAATCTATTATAATTAACTTATTTGTGACTTTTATTTTGGTAACTTATTGTCATATAACATGAAAATTAGCTTCTAATAATAGTGATTCTTTGGGACAGTAATGTTTGAAGCATTATAAGCAGCACTGGATTTGGATCACTCTTTCGTAAAGCTAGAATCTAGATCCTATATAAGGCAAGGGATCCACTAAAATCTCTTAAATGATTAAACCTTCACATCAATTACAAAGTTAATCGTTAATTGGTTAACCAAAAAACCCTAAAACCGTTATCACCAACAACCAGAGCGAGTTTAATCATTTATATACCGCGAGATACAAAGTAACAAACTTGGTAGCCGCCTCCTGGAACATACATGGCAGCTCATACACTTGCTCACAATTTTGGATTGTCCCACCAAATCACCAATGATACAAGGGGCATGTTTGGACTCCCGTTGTCCCACCAATGCAGCTCATACAACATTTTCAGACGGAGAAAACATTTTCACCACTGGTGACATGGATTTGGAATAATAATATCTTAATTTTGGATTCATCGGTTAACCGACGGTATTTAATTTCAAAAATGTAACCGTACTGTGAACCAATATTCTTTCGGTTGGTTAACTGTACCACAAGTTTTTAAAAACACGCTACGATTAACCAAAAAACACCGGTTTTTGAGTTATTTACCACGGTTAATCCGTTACGGTTTTTCATGCCCACACCTAGTCGGAGCCTCCTCCAATGGCTCTTTTGGCTGTTGGAGAGGGTGGAGCTAAAAAAAATTGTGCAACAGCTTTGTAGGATCATGCGCACCAAATGTATACATTTTGATTTTTTATGATAATATTCTAGTGTGTCTATACATTTGACATTAGATTCTTTTATCAACTTGCAATGAAAATTATAAAATGAACATTATATAGTAAACTAAGTTTACACATGATTCTAAAAATGAGTGTAAGATCCGATATAGCTCAAAAATGGGATCCAAAGTAAATTCCCCTTAAAATTATGTACCAACATTATATGACCTCTTACCTCAAATCCTACTCTATTAGAAATTTAGAACTTGTAATGGTTGTACTTAGTGTTGGACCGGGCCGGGTCGGGCCCGGGCCGGGTCAAGGCCCGGTCGGGCCTCGGGTCCTATAATGGTAGGCCCGGGACCAGCCCGGGCCGGGTCAAGGCCCGGTCGGGCCTCGGGTCCTATAATGGTAGGCCCGGGACCGGCCCGGTCAATGACCGGTTCCGGTTCGGGCCGGGCCACCCGCCCGGGTCACGGGTCGGGCCACCCGCCGGGCCGGGCCGGGCCATTATATATTTTTTTTATTAATTATATATTATACAAATTGCTATTAAAAACAAAGTTCAAGTGCATTTATTTGAAATAAGAACTACATTTGAGAATTGAGAAAAAAATAACAATACGAAATACATTTTGTAATGAATATCAATTGGGATTTCCGCCACCGTTGGTTGTTGTTTTCCCTTTGTCGCAAGACTTCATATGTTTTATTGGCATCCCGTATCCGTATGAACCCCCCAAGCAACACTCTTTCTTGCACCACCTGCAAGTTGCCCACCACAGACCGGTTTTCGGGTCCTTCCACTTGTCAAAATTGTTTTGCATAAGGGAAGATGTACTTTCCATATTTAAAATGGTATATGTATAAGTAGGAATGTAGGATAATAAGAGAAGATGAAGATGGAGAAGAGTTGGAGAAGAATTGGAGAAGAGGTGTAGAAAAATGTTAGAAAATAGATGTATTTATAGATGTTTTTGAACCCCACTCCCCACACCACCACCCCCGGGACCCCCCTGCCCCCCACCCATAGCCCCAACGGCTATATAGCCGTTTGGGAGCTTTGAATTTTTTTTTTTTTTAAGTTATACACATATTGTAAAATAAATTAATTAATTTAATGAATTAAGTAAAACTAAAACTATTTGTACTTAGAAAAGTGGTTTGATTTATAATTTACAAATGTTACAAAATAGGTGTATAAGTATTTAAACAAATTACATATTCTAAATGTATTTTTAATTTAAAAACCGGCTTTATATTTTAGAAAAATAATTTTAAGTCGTTAGATTGTAACCAATTAATTAATTTGAGAAGTGCTACATATGAAAAAGTGAACACATATTTATTTGAAATATGAAGTACAAGTTTACAAATTAATTTGAACTACAACTACAAATTTACAATTTTGAAATATGAAGTACAAGTTTACAATTTTGAAATATGATGTACAAGTATAAATAAATTTGACAAGTGCTATAAAATACATTTTGTAATAAATTCTAAAATACTAATCAATCGGAATCTCCGGCATAGGTAGAGCCACCATCGGTTGTTGAGTCATCCATAAAATCTTGGGAGGGGGTGATGCTCAATTCTTGAGTTCTACGTGCGGCCTTCAACCAATCGTGGTAGCATATAAGCGTCTCAAGAGACTCCGCGCTCAATCTCGATCTAGATGCCGTTAGGACGTTGCCGGCCGAACTAAATTCTTGTTCCACAGCAACTGTTGAAACCGGCATTGATAGTACTTGCTTAGCCATCCGTGCTAAAATCGGGAACGTTCTTTCTTTTGACTTCCACCAGTCTAGAACGTCAAAGTCATCATTTTCTTCAAAATCAACTTCATATGTTAAATACAAAGTAATCTCATTTAATGCGCTTTGTTCAGTGACGTGAGTTGTTTTAGTTTTTTTCATAAGATTGCCAAATGCAGATTTAAAAATCGATTTTCCTTTAGATGAAGATGTTCGTGACGGGGGAGGGGGAGCGTTGCTATATTGTGCACGAAATTCATTAAATAAGGCATAAAATAAAGTACTAACCTCGTTGTATTCCGTTTTCGGATCTATGGGATTATCGTCATACATTGGAAATTCACCGAAAAACGCAAGATAATAGAAGTTGAAACAATCTTCCAAATTAGCAAGTCTATAACGAGGATCGAGAATAAATGCAATACCATAAATATGGGAAATATGCGCATAATATTTTAAAAACTTTTCCTTCATATGATCACAAAAATAATGAACGAAAACGGCATTTTGAAATTCTTTAAAAGCATCGGCGAGATTAACAGCTTCTGGAATAAATTGGTTTGCGGTAGGTTTATAAACATGACAAAAAGTTTCAGACTTACTTTTTTTATTACCGGTGGCGGTTTGGGATGAGGCAGGCGCGTCGGCGTCGTGGCTGTCGGCACCCTCCTCCTCGGCCGTCTCCAGTTCCAATTCCTCCGCATCTTCATCCTCAAGCTCCTCTTCGTCAATGGTCGTCGGCATTTGTTGTTGTTGTAGAAAGCGGTTATTATGTCGGGCCAATTCTTGTTGAAGTTGTTCTTCGGACATCGCATCTCCATCTCGCCTTTGGTAACCCGTTTCAAAATCATCTCGGCTTTGAGATGAAGACCCGGCAAGTTCTTTACCTTTGCGGGATTTCTTCCTCCCAATCTCGTTTCTTCGATTGCGTTGGAGGTTACCCAAATCAACCGAATATCTACCACCTTCCATCTAAAAAATGTAACAAATATTAATTCACAACAAATATAATAATGGATACAAAACTAATGCAACTAATTAAAACTATTTTAATTAATACTTCAAACTAATTTTTTGCAAAGTAGATTTAATGTGTGTCTCTACAATTAAAATTATAGCAACTTTTGAAGTAAATAACTAGTACAAGTAAAAATGTAACAACAATGCTAATTAAGTAGTTAACTAGTATAGTGACAAATGTAACAAACTAACAACTAGTTAAATAAAATGTGAAGTATTTTAATTAGTATAATGAAAAATGTAACAAGAATGGTATTGAACTAATTAACTAGTATAATGAAAAATGTAACAAGAATGCTAATTAACTAATTAACTAGTATAATGAAAAATGTTACAATAATGGTAATGAACTAATTAACTAGTATAATGAAAAATGTAACATGAATGCTAATTAACTAATTAACTAGTATAATACTAGTTATAGTAAGTAATATATAATATAATGTTTATATTATATAATATATAAGTATACTACTATAAGATGAGTAATACACTTATATTTTATACTTTAATATATAAAATATATATTAAGTAGATGTAGAATGTATGTATTAAGTGGATATAATAATTGTATAAGAATTAAATATTAGAGTATAATGGAGAATTGGAGATTGGAAAATAAGTATATATAAAATATAAGTAGAGAAGTAGATATTATTATGTATTAAGTATATAGTAATAGTTTATAAAGTATATTTAATACTTTATTATATAAAGTATATATTAAGTAGATATAGTATGTATGTATGTATTAAGAGATATAAGTAGAGATTAAGTAGATAAGAAATATAAGCAATATAGTATATGTAGATAATAATATATAAGTAGATAATTAATATATAAGTAGATATAATAATTGTATAAGTATTAAATAGTAAAATAAAATATAAAGGAGAATAAGAGAATTTGAGAAGATGAATATGGAGAATTGGAGATGAGTAGAGAGTAGGATTTAGGTAGAGTTGGAGAAGAGGTGTGAAAAAATGTTTAAAATTAGGAGTATTTATAGGTTTTTTTTAACCCCCACTCCCCACCCCCACCCCCCACCCAAAGCCCCCCTGACCCCCCCCCCCCCCGGTACCACCCAACGGCTATATAGCCGTTTGGGGTGGCCGTTGAGCCAAAAGAAGCAAAAAAAAAAAATTAAATTAAATTTTGGACCGTTAGGCCCGGGCCGGGCCTCCAAAACCAGGACCCGAGCCCGGTCCCGCTAACCCGACCGGGTCTGTGCCCGAACCGGACCCGGACCCGAGAACCGGGCCGGTTCCGGGCCCGCACAGTGGCGGGCCGGGCCGGTCCCGGGCCGGTCCCGGGCCGGGCGGCCCGAACCGGGTCCACGCCTAGTTGTACTCAAGTGAATGATGTTTCCCTTTAGTGCACATTTAATTACCTTTTCCACTTACCAAAATATATAATAATTGTTGAATGCCAATTTGGATGATTTTATCATTTTCCTATCATTCAATTAGCACCAAATACCAAATAGCCCCTTTTTGAATAGATAATTGAATCGAGATTTAGAAAGAATTGGTCGAATTCCAATGAATCTAGGTGCACGTCAAAACTTATTTCAGGCGGTCGTGCGGTTCACCGACCGGTCAAGGCTATTTGAAGTTCTATCTGATAAAAAAAATTGGGTGAAATTTATAAACATATTTTTCATCAAATATAGATTATCTCCACAAAATTTTAGTTTAAAATTAATCGAAAAGTCAGTTAAATATATTATTGAAACATATTGTGTTTTATGTATAAACATACATACATACATACATACATACATACATACATACATACATACATACATACATACATACATACATACATACATACACACACACACACACATAATATATAAAGCGCAATATGTTTCAATAATGTATTTAACCGACTTCCCTATTAAATTTAAAATTGAAATTTTATTGGCAAACTGCACTTAATGAAGAACATACCCAAAACATTTCATCAAAAAAATTCACCAGACAGACCCTCAAATGGGCTAGGCCAGACAATGGTACGTTCTAATTTGTCGTGCCCGATCAAATCAGTCCTATTGATTTTTTGTAAACCCGATAGACAAACTATCTAAGTCGATGGGGTTAATGCCTAGTGGAGTAACATTTAGCGAATATTATAACAAATTAACAACACAAAAGATAAACTAATATTCAATACTTTCTATTCCGACTTCTGCAATACCATATTATTCGACATTTTTGGAGGTAACTTAAAATTAACGTTGAAATTAAGGTGACAACTATGATACCCATTTAAAATGGGGTACCATATTTATCATTCATTTGATTGGTCAAAATCATTGTATTATTTTTAATTTATATTTAAATAATTCAAGTGTAATACTTCCCCGTATTTAAAAGCTTGTCACGCTTTCTTATTTGAGATGTAATACTTTCTCCGATATCCAATTACCTCTTACTTTTTCTACTTTTTATCTTTTTTTTTCTTCCTATTTTTCATCTGCTCTTCTACTTTTTCAACATTATTCATGATTTTTTTATTGACTCCGTAAATATTGTGTCAAGAACTAATTTAGTCATCTTTTAAATAGAGAAGGAATAGAGAGGGAGTATTGAAATTGATGCATGGGGATAAACGTGTAGTACCATAGAGTGCTTCTCAAATGAAACCAAAGACAACCATTCTTGGTGTACACGTTTTTGTACCCATCAGTACACGCATGTGTCTGTGAGAGTTTTTTTTGTCTGTGAAGCGCGGTCCACAGACAAAAGCTGGTTTGTTTTGTCTGTGAAATTTTCCACAGACAAAACAAGCGAACTTATGTCTGTGGACCGCACTTCACAGACATATGCGTGTACTGATGGGTACAAAAACGTGTACAAAAGGAATTTTTGAACCAAAGAAACATACCATAAATCTCTGTTTGGGGATGGCTCCTGGAAAGTCTCTCCTCCCCTCACCAGACTCCCTTCAACCAAACATGCGATAGTATTTTGGTTTGTGTCCTCAAATGACAGTGGCTATGCTTTAGTTATAAAATGAGTATTGTACCTACCATTTAATTAAGGGAAAAGTACAGAAAAGATGCTTGTGGTTGGACCCATTTTTAGATAGAGCCATGTGTTTCATTCTTTATCAAAGTGGTTTATGTGTTTGAATTCCATTATCACAAGAGGGTCACGCCGTTAAAAACGTCTGAAAAGACCGTTAAAAGTAACTCCAATTTTCAAAAGTGCCCGGAAAATTAAAAGAAAAATATGGAAAGGTGCGCCTCATCAAGATTACCTCCAAACCAACTTCGCCTTTGAATTTTTCAGATTTGTTTGAATTATTTTTTAAAAATGGTCTCGTTAAGAAAGATAGCCTAGCGGTCGCCATATTGAGGCGCACCTTCCAATATTTTTCTTTTAATTTTTCGGGCACTTTTGAAAATCGGAATTACTTTTAACAGTCTTTTTCAGACGTTTTTAACGGCGTGACCCTCTTGTGATAACGCAATTCAAACATATGAACCACTTTGATAAAAATGAAACACACGACACTATCTGAAAACGGGCATAGTACCTTTTTCGTAATTTCCCCTTTAATTAATTGATCCAAATCATGATTCAATTCAATGAGATCTTCCTGAAATTAAACCAAAGACACAAACTACCTTCATCCCAAAATGCTTTGCAAATTTGACTTTTTCTGATCAAACAGTTTCGTTTTGTTCGTTTGATTAAGATGTCAATTTCTAATTATATTATATTTTGAAGTTTACAATTTTAAAAAGATTTTAATGTAGTTTACCAATATATAAATTTTAATTATTACAAATTGAATTAATTATTAAAAGGGACGATTGACAGAAAAAATGTTGGGATGTCTCCGGAATGTCTCTCCCCCCTTCTTCAGGCTCCCTTCAACCAAACATATTTTGGTTTGGCGGAAAACCATAATATTCATATCGGAGCAGCAGACTTCCATCATGAAGAGAAGCAAATTATTCAGACAGAGTCTCCCCGAGACACCGCTGAGCTCACACATTATTCACTCACCTGCCGGAAAAATCTCATCTTTCTTTCCTTCCAAGAAGAAGCCCTCAATCGTCACTCTCCCGACTAATCAAGAGCCAGCGAATTGGGTCCCCTTAAACCTAGGCAGAACCGAGCTCTACCTTCCGTTGACCTTCCCCACAGGTCAGACCTTCAGGTGGAAGCAGACGGGTCCACTCCAGTTCACTGGCGTCGTAGGCGGGTCCCACCTGGTCTCCCTGAAGCAGCTTGATGATGGGGATGTCGGTTACCGCCGGCACTCCATGGACGATGATTCTGCCGCTGCTGCTGCCATGGCTGCCCTGCTTGATTTTCTTAACGTGGGTATATCTCTGAGTGAGGTTTGGGAGATCTTCAAAGCCTCCGATCCCAGATTCACTGAGTTAGCCGGTCATTTGGGAGGGGCCAGAGTGCTCAGGCAGGACCCACTCGAGTGCCTGATCCAGTTCATTTGCTCTTCTAATAACAACATTAAGAGAATCACATTAATGGTTGATTTCATTTCTTCATTGGGGAATTATTTAGGGACTGTTGGAGGCCTTAAATTTTATGAATTCCCATCCTTAGACCGGCTGTCACAGGTTTCGGAAGCTGAGCTCCGGGAGGCTGGTTTTGGTTATAGGTTAGCTTTTTATCTTTACAATGGCTCTATATTTTCTTCTGCTTTACATATGAGTTTTTTGCTTTTTGCTCCTTTATTTATCAATCTGGGATACCCAATTGGGTGCACGTGTTAAATCCCACCACATTGAGGAATATGGAGATTCAAACTCACACATAAACCTTTGAACTCCAAGTAAGAGTCAATTAAGTTCAAATGAACAATCAATTATACTAAGACTAAAACAACAGTACAACACGCATGTTTTAAGAGGGTAAGTCATCATCATGATCATTACCCCAGTGCCTCAAAGGCTCCCACTTACGGTGGTGTAAGGGGGCAGGTGTACACAGCCTTATCCCTGTAATAAAGCATAGAGAGACTGTTTCCGGATAAGAGGGTGAGTCATATAGCGGTCAAATATAAAGGCACTAGCTCACATTTAACTATATGTCTATATAAGACCTCTGATTACCTGTTGTTTGGTTAATCTATAAAGATGAAACTGCAAGTCCTAATATCATGTCACAAACAATCAGGTATCCCATCTTATAATGTTTTTCCAATGGAATTTAGTTGTGGTTCTTTTGCACTGAAGAGCCACTATTGTTTGAGGTATAATATTTTTTAATGAAAGGGTTTCATTTTCTAGGTTTGTGAATATGCATATGATGCTGAACTCAATGACGTGTTGTTCTCCTTTGGTACAAACTACATTTGCCAGAAGTGTATTGCTATGCTTCTCTGCATATGCTTTTGAGAGCCATTTCACATGTCATGAACAGTGTTATGAGATAGCTCACACTTCTGTCTCCAACTATAATATAGCATCAGGGGCACTGACATTGGCAAAATGAGAAAACGGCTGTTTTATTTGCCCTAATTTTGAACTGTATCTCTGCATCATAACACATGCATAGTTGTTCCTTTAGGGCAAAGTATTATATACTCTTGAGCTATCTATTAGATAACAAATGCATCAGTCAACTTTCTTTTGGAACAATTAAAACACAAAATTTATAGTGTTTGAACAAAAATACCCACATGTCAAAATATGTGAGGGGTATATATGTTCTCTATTATATATTTACGATGGAATATGTTCTCTGATATATAGTTTAAAGCGTATAGTTGTTCCAGTGTAATTTTTTTGTGTTCAAAGCATAACGCCATAGCCACTGTCATTTGAGGACACAAACAGAGATTATGTGTCTGAAAAAGTAAATGTACACATTTAATGCATTGTAGTGAAGTACTGTTGAATATTTTATTAATTGTTTCTTCTAATATTCCCCTTTACTTTCTCACTATATCCTCTATCTATCACCTTTTACTTTTGTGGAAACTGTTATTTTTTCCTTTTAGAAGAAGGTTACACGTTAAGATAACATTTATCTCTTAAATTTATTTAAACACATGCCAGTGATAGCCCTGTGCATTACCACATTTTATTGGCTAGTTTTTTCTAACTACTTGTGGTCCTTGTGGATACTGGTCAGGGCAAAATATATTACTGGTACTGTTAGGGAGTTGCAATCAAAACCAGGGGGAGGTTATCAGTGGCTTGCATCACTTAGAGGGAGAGATCTTAATGAGGCTGTTGATGATCTTTGTACTCTACCTGGTGTCGGCCCCAAGGTGGCAGCTTGCGTTGCTCTATTCGCATTGGATCAACATCATGCCATTCCTGTTGATACTCATGTCTGGCAGGTAATATTTCTGAGGCTTTAATCTCCTTTGCTATTTGAGAGACCCATCTCTTTATGTTCTTTTGAGATACTATCCTTCTTGAAAAGCATTGAATAAATAAATTACTACCTTGACTTGGATGACTTAGAACTTACTAACTCGTTATTTCTAGAAGCTATTATAGTGCTTATTTAGAGAAATATGTAACTGCGTTAACGGTAAATGCATGTATAATATTATCATGCATTCATGAATGCTGATCCCACTTAATAATTCCTTATACAGCTTTTATTTATTTTATTATTGATAGATTGCAACTAGGTACCTGACCCCTGAGCTAGCAGGCGCCAGTTTGACACCTAAACTGTGCACTCGGGTGGCAGAGGCTTTCGTGGATAAATATGGGAAATATGCAGGCTGGGCTCAAACTCTTCTTTTCATTTCAGAACTTCCAACACAGAAAGCTCTGTTGCCGATCTCTTTTCAAAACGAAATGCATTCCAATAAACCGAAGAAAAGAAGAATGAGCGGAAATAAGAAGATGCCTACGAGTACTACTCCTACTCCTTGCAGCTAGTGTTTGCAGTGTATATATGTGCAACTCCTATACATACTCAATCGTCTGGTTCATTATTCTTAATTAGAGAGTTGTAAATTCAAAAAACCACAAAAGTAATCGGCGAGTTAGTGGTTCAATTGATATTTATTGTGGAACACACTCGCACACAACCGTTAGCCATTACTGAGTTATTTTTTTGCAAAAACACACGTAATATGAAACCATGTCAAATACTCCGTATCATCTTTGAAGGCAAAAACGGTTGAATGAAATGGTGTATGTTTCAAGAAAATAAATACTAACATCAACACACATCAATTGTTGGCATAAATAACCCATTAGCTTCAGAAAGCCCATTACTGGTCAGGTGAAGCGCTCTATGCTATATGTGGTGTTTTTTGTTGCCATGTTAATCACTTAATCATAAAAGATCACTATGTTTGGTCAAATGAACTCTAGCAACAGGGGTGGATCATGGATGGTCTGGTCCGGAACTGTTTGGGACTAGTCCTGGACTCGGTTCGGGACACCCGGCCCAGGAACCGGCCCGGCCCGCTACTGTGCGAGACCGGCCCGGCCCGGTGCTACGGGCCCCAAACCAGGTTATCTTTTAAAAGCGAGGCGGGCTCGGGTCAGTGAAAAGGAGGCCAGGCCCGGCCGGGCCCGGTTCGGGCCAAATTGATTTTTTTTTTCTTCATTTTTTTGGGTTCCACCCGGTTGGGCTTGATGTTTAGGAGGGGTTGGGGGGGGGGGGGTCAGGGATACTTAGGAAGGCAAAAAAAAAAAAAAAACCGAGGCCCGGACCCGGTAGCTACCCGGGCCGGTCCCGGGCCCAACTATTCAGAACTGGTGGCCCACCCGGGCTTAGGCCCGGCCTGGACCTGACCCGGCCCGAATCCAGCCCTATTTGGGATCGGACTGGGGTCCATTTTTCGGTCCTGGGTTCCAATATTTGGGAATGAACCGGGTGGTTTTGGTCCCAGTTTTGGTCCACGGCTGGCCAATTTTTTTTAGCTTGAAACCGGGTAAAAAATATAACGGGTCCAGAACCGGGACCGGACTACCAGGGTATCCGGAACCGGCCCAGACCTAGAAAATAGCAGGTCGGGTCCGGGCCTCTTCAAAATATTGCTAGGACCATGCGGTCTCAACCCGAAATCAGGACTGGACCGACCCGGGGTCCCGGGTCCACCCTTATCTAGCATTCATGCTTGCAATTTGGAACTCGCAAAGCTTGTATTTT